ATTTCAGCGAAAATTAGGAAAAATCGAGAAATGATCGAGAAACGATCGCATCGGGATATTTTTAGTTTTCGGAAATCGCTACCGCGATTCCCCGAGATAATCGTCAGCCGTGAGGCGTTTGAATATTCAATTTCGGCAAAATTCGAAGAGATTATTTCAGCGAAAATTAGGAAAAATCGAGAAATGATCGACGCGATGACCCATCGATCTTTTTAATTAACTTGAGGCGAGAGCGGATCATCGCACCGTCGAGATATTTTTAGTTTTCGGAAATCGCTACCGCGATTCCCCGAGATAATCGTCAGTCGTGAGGCGTTTGAATATTCAATTTCGGCAAAATTCGAAGAGAGAGATTATTTCAGCGAAAATTAGGAAAAATCGAGAAATGATCGACGCGAGTACCATCGATCTTTCTGATTAACTTGAGGTGAGAGCGAAGTGAGTGTGTAAAATTTATTTTCAGCCATTATCGTGTAAACGGCTGAAAAAGAAACTCTAATGCATCATCTATTATCGGTAATAAAGCATAGATGTGTGCGTGCAGTGTAGCTATGCATCGATCGGTTAAGCACTCTGCTATTTTCTAAATTGACGAATCGAGGGATGCAGCGGCACAAAGGTGGGCGACTTGAAATCCGTAATCTTTGAAATCTTCGCGGATCAAATTATCTCGCTAAGCCTCAGATCCTTATCCCGCGTCGCGCGAGAATTTCCCTTCCTGTTATCTTTAATGTCGCTGCTGATCTCGTCTTCGTTGAGCTGCGGAATGCGCGCCGCTCCGGTTTCAACCGCAAGGGAGCTGCGGCTGCAGAGATAAAAAAAATCCGCGAACATTATTAAAACCAGTTTATTAAAACCGTGCCGCCATCTCTCGCGTCACTGATTCTTTCTCGTGATCCCGTCCCGTAATTACGCGCGATTTATTAACGCGACGCTGAGATCGGACGCGTCTAAGCGCGGATCAGCTTCATCCTGAGTTGTTTTTCGGCCAGCTTCGAAATCGGAAGAACACCCCTTTCTTTAAATTTACCCTTTAGTTTCATAAAATTACATTCTTCGAATATGAAGAAATTTTTAAAGAAAATATATTTTTTTTAAATTGTACCACAAGAAATGCATAAATATTTATCATTTTTGCGCACCCTTTTCTTTTTATTGGTTGAAAGAATAATAAATGCTTTTCCACGATTAAAGTACTTAATTTTTTAATTTAAAAGAATTCTTTGTTTTTAACATAAAATTGGTAGGTTTGTCTTTTGTTTCAGTATACACTTTAATAAAAAGAAAAAGGTGCGTAAAAATCGTATTCTATCCACAAAACAGGACGGTGTTTAAGATTCCCTTAAGCAAGTAAAAAATCGACGTACAACAATGAAAGGAAAGTTTAAAAGAAATGTTTATGCTATCGAAAGAAATGAAAAAATTGCTAAAGTACTCGATGATGAAGTCTCGTGTCGGATGAGAGAAAGAGGTACAGGAACCGCCATCTAACGAACAGAAAGAAGCCGGCTCCGTCGATCGGGACGGCTCAAAGTTAACAGAGTGCGCCGAGGCGAGACTCTTAGAACGGGCGTGTATTCACGCGCACGCTCGCAACGCTCGCTCCGTGGTACTATTTCTCGGTACGTGTGTCGCAGGGCGATTGCGCGGCGCAATGAATCAGACCGCGCCAGTGTCGTGTATTCCTGCGGGGAAGATGTCAAAGGCGAAGAAGGTGCTGGACGAGGCCCGGGAGATCCAGAATCCGGAGCTGGATCTCGCGGACAAGGGTATCGCCACGTTCGAGGAGATGCCGGGATTGCGTGAGTCTCGTCCCACACGTAGTCGCGCTCGTATCGCGCCAAATTAGGCAACTTGTCGCGGCTGGTTTCGGCTGACGCGATCCGCGCAGCTTCGGCCATCTGAGCGTCCGGACCACGTGGGCGCGTCAGAGCGCGCGCGCGCGCTGTCCTTTTAAATTTGACATTTCGCGCTTAACGTAAACATCGAGTTATACGCAATGTACACAGTAGGACATTTTTTCTTGTTAAAAATGGTTCCCGCGAAAATTTTTGTGTTAAATATTTAACGCATTCGTGTGTTAATTTAACATATTGTTGTGTTAATTTAACTTATATGTTTAATTATTAAAAGACTGAAAAAAGATGTAAAATTGACACAATGTGCATCTATTTTTTATTTTACGTAACAAATATGTTCTGTTTTATTAGTGACAAGATTTATCTGTTAAAATTTACAAAAAAATATTGATTTTTTATTTTATAATATAAGTGAGGATTATTTTAACTATGTTTATTTTATTACAAAACATTTATTTTAAATTACTTGAGGTTTTGCATTTATTTTGTGTTAAAATATTAACACAGTATTCTGTTTGGGACATGTGATATCTTTTTAACACAAATTTTTTAACTGTGTATAAATCTCGCGATGCGCGAATTTGAAGGTTTGAAACATCGTGACTTTATATTGTGACAAAGAAGTGTAGATACACGTGTTAATGTAGGATAAATTCTAAACTTTTTTAAAACAAATTAGTTTCTTGTTAGATAAAATTAGTAAAATAATCAACATTAAAATATAATATTACAGCGGCTTTTACTTTATTATGTTTCAGTGAATATGATTAATGTAACGAGGCTGACGTTAAGCCACAATAAAATTCAAGGTAATGTAGCTTGACGTAATTGCACGCAATTGTATGTTCGATGATTCAATTGATTCATTCAGATCGATAATTGCTTTCGATATAGCGGTTCCACCGGGTCTCGCCAATCTAGTCAACCTAGAAATACTGAATCTCTTCAACAATTGCATCACCGAGCTGCCTATATCACTGTCGCAAATGCCAAAGTTGAGAATCTTAAACGTAGGGTCAGTATAATTTGTAGGTAAGCTTTTTAATTGTGTATCACACGATAAAGATTTACTAGAGTATTTGACTTCCGGCAGGATGAACCGATTAGATGTGCTTCCTCGCGGTTTCGGTGCGTTTCCGGTTCTCGAGGTACTAGATCTGACGTACAACAATCTCAGTGAAAAGAATTTACCCGGAAATTTCTTCATGATGGGTCAGTCGTATAGTTATTAAATTGTTTAATGCGTCTTCCCGCAAACCGCGCATTAATCTTTTTTTTCCTTTAGAAACTCTAAGAGCGCTCTATCTAGCTGACAATGATTTTGAGTATCTACCACCTGAAATCGGACAGTTGAAAAATCTGCAAATTGTAAGAATTGTCAGACACTTTCGCAATTTTTAAGAAAATAGTTTTGAAAAAATCTGTCGATCTTGGAGGAGATTACAGAGATTAAAATATTTTAGCTCGTACTGAGGGAAAACGATCTGATCGAATTGCCGAAAGAAATCGGCGAGCTGGCTCGCCTTAGAGAGCTGCATATTCAGGGAAATCGTTTGACGGTGTTGCCTCCCGAGATAGGTATGACTAGTGAATAGCGGTAAAATAAGTTTATCGCCGAAAGAAAAAGGGTCTACATAAGTTTACCTTACAGGAAACTTGGATCTAGTGAGTAACAAAGCGGTATTTCGAATGGAGTTCAATCCGTGGGTTACTCCGATTGGCGATCAGCTGCAAGTGGGCATATCTCACGTCATCGATTATATCCGCTCGGAAACGTATCGATAGTAGGTGTTTCTATTATCATTAGATGCTGTGTCACAGCACAATTTAATTAAGAGTCGAACAAATATTTAGAAGCTTAAACTCGACGATTTCTTCGCATTTGTTTGCATTTAACATCACAATTCAAGGCTACTAACATAGAATTATTGATTGAAAAGTCTGGACGATGAAGGTAATTGTCACTTTTTGCAGTGTTTACAATCGACACCAAAGCGCCAAAGGCCCGCCACCTCCTATCGAGACCGATAAGAGCAAGAAGATCTCACGTGCTCGTTAACGTGCGCTCGAGTTCGTATACTTTTGCCTAAATAGTGCTATCTGTGACTAATCTTGTTTCGGAGATTATTTTTATAAGTCGTATATACTGCCAATTTTAATCGTTAGTTCGCATTAATTAATTCAGGAATTAAATGGTGCCTTTTAGAAATAGAGGAGAATAATAATGAGAAATAGGAAAAATGTAATGTGCATTTTAATAATATTATACTTTTTTAATACCTATATAATATATACTTACATATATATTATATACATATTATTTTAATCCAAGAAAATTGTATATGTGTATTAAAGATTTTTTTACTAATTTATTCCGCCTTTTTATTAAGAATATTAATAATGGTGGACTAAGTTTTAAGCTGAAAAATATTTCCTGCATCTGTAGCTATGTGTGTAACTTGGATTTTTTAAATTCATAAATGATTCCGGTCGATGAGAGTACATAGAATTCAAAACTGCTCTGAGAACATTTTTATATAGTTTAAAATTATAATTTATTGTGTGAAACTTATATAAATTATTTACTTTAATTGAAAATAATTGCAAAGATGCGTTCTTTATTATACTATTTTTAAGAAATTAATTTTTTTATTTGAATTATTTTACAAAGTAGAGTAGTAAATGAATATATTTCACGATAAAAAAATACTTTATCTGAAAATCAAAGCTTATTAGATTTTTGCACCGATTTCTATCGCTCCGGGCAACGGGAACAAAATCGCAAAACAAATCATCTCGCCGTCAGTTTGCGCCAAACTTTTTCGGTGTCAATATTGTTTGTTTATCCCACCTTTTCGCTGCAAGCTAAAAAAAACGTCTTCAAAATGGTGATTATCGAAAAATATATAACTTAATTATTTGCAGACTCGTCGAATTCGAAATAACATTTTTCATAATAGAGACTGAGTTATTCAAGATCGATAAGCTTTATCAACCTCGAAATACACTCCACATGTTTGAAATTAAAAATTAGAATTAAAAAAATGAATATTACTCCTGTTTATTACAAAAATCTATTTTATAACGAGAAATAGGGAGACGCGATAAGATACATTAATTAATTAAAATGGGTAGCGCGAGGTACTTTCGATCCACATTGGCCAAGGCGGCGTGCAGATGGGCAACGCCTGCTGGGAGCTTTATTGCTTGGAACACGGTATACAACCGGATGGTATGTTGCCACCGCAGACTTGTACGAACGACGAAGGTTTCCAGACCTTCTTCAGCGAGACGGGCGGCGGAAAATATGTGCCCAGGGCCGTTTTCCTCGATCTCGAGCCGACGGTGATAGGTAACTCGTAGAGAAAAAATATATAATCTTATATAAATATAATATAAGAGATATATTAATAGATAGAGAATATAATATTAATATATTATATAGATAATATAGATAGGATATATAATAATATTATATTATATAATTTAATATTATATTAATATAGTATATAATATATAATATATATATATAATATAATATCATATAATATAATAGTATATAATATATAATATAATATTGTATAATATTATATAATATTATATTATATAATATTATATTATATATATTAATATAGTATATATATAATATAATATTATATAAATATTATATAATGTCGAAACGATAAACGAAAGACGAAATAAATTTCGCCCAACTTACCGTCCATCCTCAGACGAGGTGCGCACGGGAACCTATCATCAGCTGTTCCACCCCGAACAGCTGATCTCCGGCAAGGAGGACGCCGCGAACAATTACGCCCGCGGTTTCTACACCCTCGGCAAGGAGATCATCGACCTCGTGTTAGATAGAATCCGCAAGATAGCCGACATGTGCGCCGGTCTGCAAGGTTTCCTCATCTTTCACGCGTTCGGCGGCGGAACCGGATCCGGTTTCGCGAGTCTGCTGATGGAACGACTGTCCCTGGATTACGGCAAGAAATCGAAGCTCGAATTTGCCATATATCCGTCGCCGCAGATCTCCACCGCTGTCGTGGAGCCGTACAACGCGATTCTGACGACCCACACCACTCTGGAAAATTCGGACTGCGCGTTTCTCGTGGACAACGAGGCGATCTATGACATTTGCCGACGTAATCTCGACATCGAACGGCCGACTTACACGAATCTGAACCGGCTGATCGGCCAGATCGTCTCCTCGATCACGGCGTCTCTGAGATTCGAGGGCGCTCTAAACATCGATCTTACCGAATTCCAAACGAATCTCGTGCCCTATCCCAGGATACACTTTCCCTTGACGACCTACGCGCCCATCGTGTCCATCGAAAAGGCTTATCACGAGCAGCTCACCGTGATGGAGCTCACTTCGGCCTGTTTCGAACCGGCCATGCAGATGGTCAAGTGTGATCCTCGAAGAGGAAAGTACATGGCCTGTTGTTTATTGTACAGAGGCGACGTGGTGCCGAAAGACGTCAACGCCTCGATCGCGATCATCAAGACCAAGAGGACGATACAGTTCGTCGACTGGTGTCCAACGGGTTTCAAGGTTCAATGTCTTTTCACAAATTCTTCGCGATATAGTTTAGGTTTTCGAATCGAGTGATACTTTATTTATTTAATTGGGCAATAATTAGGTAGGAATCAATTATCAACCGCCGACTGTGGTACCAGGAGGTGATCTGGCGAAAGTGCAACGAGCCATGGCCATGTTGGCGAACACCACGGCGATCGCCGAAGCGTGGGGCAGATTGAACAGAAAATTCGATCTCATGTTCCACAAACGAGCTTTCGTTCATTGGTAAACTTTGCGCGGATTTTTATTTTTTATACAATTTAAATTAAACTCTTGGATTGTCACTCGCGAATTGTGTCAAATATCTATCGCTATCAGGTACGTCGCCGAAAATATGGACGAGAACGAATTTAACGAAGCTAGGGAAGACCTGGCCGCGCTGGAGAAAGATTACCACGAAGTCGCGGCGGATTCTCTGGACATCGGCGAAGAGGAGTCTTAATCGCTCCTTTGAAAAGACTTGCATGCATTTTGGTGGGATAAATGAACCCTTTTTTTTTACTCGAGTGTACCGTTTTTATAGGATTTTTACAATTTTTTTGTATCGTCCCTTATATTTTAGATATCATTTTTATTTTAGACATGAATGTTTATGCGCGTCTTTGTGATATAATAAAAAAGTTGCACCATTCATAGTCTGCGATTTCTTAAGAAACTTGGATTAAAGGAACTTCTCGGGAGATTTTCGGGAGGGAGAATATAATTAACGAAAAACAGCACTCGTAGATATTATAGGCTTTTATTGTATAGAACAGCACGCGGCTGCGCGAATTATATTACATATGTATAAATTTCCGTCGGCATCTTTACATCACGGTCGGAGAAACTCTCGCATCGCGCACGTAAAACTTTTGCTTTCTGTTTTCTTCGAGTGTCTGTAAATGCGGTGTAAAAATCGGTTTCGGTTATTTGTGCATTGTTACGCTGATACGTGAGAAACTTAGGATAGATATTGCAAAGAAGACGAAAGGAAAAAAAAAATATACTCTCTTGCGGAAAGAGCACAACTAACCGTTGCGAATATAATAGTCGAATTAAAAAGTCGTTAGTCGTATAATTACGATGATAATAATAAATGTGTGTTTTGCGCAAATGATCGAGGCGCGGCCAAGCTGACGACAGAATAACACACGACAACTAATCACGCTGATCACAACGATAACGATGATAGGATTAATCATAAACATTCGTCGTAATTATTATCAAGCATTACTCTCTCTCTTACGCTATCTCCCTCTCTTTTTCGCTCTATCGTCGGCAAGGTTTTTTTCTGTTCTTATCTCGTCGTATCATATCAATAGAATAATAATAATCTATTGTTATATATATTTTTTTTTAATAAAATCTCGAACGCGCCATTCACTGGCAGACGCGCGTGATAATTTGCATCTTCTCCTCCTTCGTATCTATAAAATTTCTCGGTCTCTCTCGCTCACTGTATTCTACCTATCTCCCTCTTTCGTTTTCTTAAAAGGAAAAAGGGGGAAACGCTTTTCTTTTCATCATACTTTTTGGATTGGCAGACTGAATCTGCCGCTCGCTGGACTAGAGATTTTCACTACCGCTTTATTGCGCATCCGTTATTATAGTCGAAAGGAGGGATACTCCTCCTTCTCGTTAAAAATTAATTCCTTAAAAGGGCCAGACGCTTCGTTTTTTTTTTCTTTTTTTTTCTCTCCCCTCTAGAAAATCGTTTCTTCCGTTTTCTCTCGACTGTGGAAAATTCGTCTTCCTCATTCTCTTTCTTTTTCTCTCTCGGGTAGACGAATCGCAAAATAAAATACGGACGATTCTTTACGTGGACAACCTCGTTTCGTTCATCATAACGGATCAAACGCTGTGCGTTTACGAAGTTTACGTTCAGAGGCGAACTTTGCCTAGGGCAATCTCTTCTCGAGATGAGAAACTTTTTACAAACACGCGATTAACAAAACACCGAACGCACAAAACATTGCCTCGAAAATTGAGCAGAAGGCTGTTCTCATCCGAAGGCTCGATACAAATCACTAAAACGCAAAAATGAAGGAAGTCTAGCGACGGAGTTTGAAACAAATTTAAATCTTCAGTCGCTTCAAATTCCGTCGAAGAGTCATCCAAAACGAGGTCGCATGAAAACTCGCAACAATTACATATGTATGTAGCTTCAAGACTAAAATGCTTTTATAAAAAAGTTACTGGTCGTAGGATCTGATTGTCAAACATCTTTAATCAAACGCATCGACGTAATATTTGTGTCACAATCTATCTATATAAAGTTTTAACGTTGCCGCAAAACAGAGATTAAATTAGATCGAACTGTCGTTCTCTCGGGGCTGCTTGCACGCGAGTTAGATGTCGCGAAGGGCGGAAAACGCTTAGGATCTTTGGTAAAGTCCCGCTTAAAATATTAGCGGCGATCATAAACGTTCAAGCGTTTTATCGTTGAAGGCGGAAATGATCGGAACAAACTAAACTGCTTCGTATGCCTGAGCCCATCACGTTCTCGTGACTTACGATACGGGACGACAAGATCTGTCGGATCGTCCTCGAGGACGGCGGAATGCGCGAATAAGCTTTCCAAATGCCCTAGGCGTCATAGTTTGATCAAGTTCGCGGCTATCAAGTAAATCACCCGGTCCATTAAATAATAATGCTACGAGATAGTGACTATGTTAACTCACCAATCATATTATAATCGGCAAATCGTAAAAGTAATAGCTATTGTGGCAAAACAAAGCTGCTCGCAAGTAATTAAAGACAATTATACAATGCTCGAATAACTAATAATATAATTGATAGTAACGATAAGTATTAATATTAATAATAAAAATAATATATATAGTAATATAATAATAATAATAATAATAATTATAATAAAATAATAATTAAAGGTTGGAAGAGTAGTATGATAGTATAGTAATAGTAATAGTGGATAGTAGTAGTAATAGTTGAGAGCGGTAGTAATAATTGTGGTAATTGTAGTGACGATTATGTCGCTTGTGAAAATATCTAGGATCGATCTGTCTCTTTGATGACGTAATCGCACTCATTCACGCGTTTCACGCTCACTCACAGACTGGCAGACAGCATATCGATATACAAGCAAACTCGATCAACTACAGCGATTTGTCACTCATTCTCTCTTTCTCTCTCTCTCTCTCTCTCAGTTATTCGAATCCGCGGCGATTCATCTCCCTTGTTCTCGCTTGATCAGCAGTAACGGTGGCAGTGATCGCGTTTTCGAAAGCACCGCTGCTTTCTTTGTGCACGATGCGATGGTCCACCTATTGACATGTTAATTGACAGCGACGCGACCTCGCGGGCGCCTCGAGAACTGCTTAATTTTAATAAGCATAATCTTCGGATTGGCACGATCCTCAAGTAATTTCGACGCGAGACGTACGTCTTAACAAATGATCGTTGCTTTCTCGATATACTTTAAGCACTCTTCCGTTAAGAAAAAAGATAGACAATGGCAGTGTGAAAACGGCGACTTTCGCTTCGATTCGTTTATTCGTTCTGGTAATCGCGAGAGGACACGGGCGAGAAGCGCGACGGGGATGAAGCGAGACGGATTCGACGCGGAAGGAAACCAAGACGACGGAAGCACGGTGACGGACGCGGCGGCGACGATAACGATGGTGAAAACATCCGGGTGAGCATCCGCGATCTCTCTCTCCCTCTCACGCTCTCTCAATTCGGAATCGTTCAGGAGCGGTAGATGCGGATGACGTCGCGGATCGGCGCTCGGCAGAGCGGACAGTGGCCGCCGCCTTTGCCGCGCCACTGCTGAATCGCGCAGGTGTAGCACATACACATGTGGCCGCACATGTAGAGAACACTGTCGATGCTACGCTCGTAGCAGATGGAGCACTCGCTGGGCTGGCCGGAGAGCGTCGGCTGCAGACCTTCGCTCCACTGCTGCAGATGAGACGACGTTGCGTGCGACGAATGCGTCAGAGTGCCCTCCAGGCTCTGGTAGGTCACCGGGTCGACGTACGTGGACGAGCCGGTGCTGGCCATGGTGCCGGTCAACGGAGGCGAGGACTGTCTCGAGGAACCGGGATGCGGTACCGGCGCGGGCGCGGCCGCGGAAAGATGCACCGGCTGTGGCGGTGGATTCCTGTGCGTTGCGGACGCGTAAATCGGTTGTGGCGTAGGTGGTGGCGGAGTCGGGTAACCAGCCTGCGGCGGCAGGTTCACGACCAGCACGGTGCCGCCACCTACCGCCGGCTTGAACTGCACCATCTCGGAGAATCTCGAGAGTTCCGTGGCGGCGTTGCTGTGGTTCGAGTGTTGCTGTTGCTGCTGCTGTTGCTGTTGAACGATGTTGGCCGGCGAAGGATTGCTCTGACGCTGTCGGGGTGGTGAGGTCGGTCTGCTGGCGAGCATTCGGACACGTTGAGTGCTCCCGTAAGCGTCCACGAAGGCCCACAGCTGAAGACTCTGATCGACGTGCATGACGACGTTGGGCGGGCCGCCGTTCTTGCTCATCTGCACCTCGCCGTAATGCGTGACCGTGAAGGCGATCTCGTCACCGGGTTGCGGACTCGACGCCACGTCCTTGGAGACCACCCAGTACTCGGGACGATCCAGCAGCAGGTCGCTGTCGTCCGGCAGGTCCTCCGCCGTAAGTCGCGCCGGGTCGCACGAGGTCAGGCCCAGAGCTAAAGCACCAACGTACATCGGCTCCGTCGAGAGGATCTGCACGACCAGTCGCTCGCCCAGAAGCAACGGTCGACCCGTGAACGCGTAGCCGTGACAGAATTCCGTGTCGGTGCGCGTCGCCACGCACTGCTGATTGCTGAAGCGGATGTTCCTGCCTCGAGTTCTGCGGAAAACAAAACCAGGAAGCGGTTAGCCTCGGCGGCGCTCGGCTTGACACTAATGACGGGGGCGTCTTGGGAAACCGTGAAAAGCGGATGGCGAATTAGTTCTGTTTGGCTGACCGGTACGGCGAACCGTCGGCTTTCGCGCCTTCTATCGTAGACTGATGACTTTGAACATTTGCATGTTTCTATCAGCGATTTTGCGAAAGGAGTAAAAAGCGCTATTATACAATTCAACCGGACGACTTGAAAACATAATCGCGTGGCATTTTAAAATGGACAAGTTGCATCCGAAATAAATTTCCTCGATCGCGTGACTCGAGGCTGAATTGGTTCGAGAGGTAGACGAACTTAAGGCTACCGAGTGCAAGAACCTTTTCCACGTTAGCGTCACGTTAGCTTACGTCGGGCAGACCTAGATGATGCGGATGAGAGGCGCGTAATAGATGACCTAGGTACGATCGATACTCACGAGTGGAAGGGCAAAGGAGTGAAGATGACGCCGGGAGGTTGAAACCTGAGTCCGGGTAGCTCGACGTCAGGCTCGTGATGAATCGACATGTTCTGCATAGACGGCACGATTATCCTTTCGACGTCTCTACCGGCGTTGCTGGCGTCGTCCATGGCCGAGTGCCTGCTGTGCTGCGCATTGTCCTCGTTGCTGTGCTCGGCGCCCCTGCGGATGTTGTTGAAGTGCTGGCGATTCGGGTCGACGAACTCGATCGCCGTGCTGTTGCCGTAAACGTCGATGATCGCCCAAAGCGGACCCCGGGTCTCGACACCGCTGAAGAAGAGGCCCTTCTCCTCGCCGTTCACGCCAAAGTGCACGTCGCCGGCTGACGTCACGTAGTAGAAGAGCACCGTGTCCCGCTCGGCGAACCGCTCGGCGAGAGCCTTAGCCCAGTAACCGGGCTTGTTCGTCAAATCTGGACACGCGTACCTCGGCAGACCGCTCCGTAGGTTGATCGGGTCGTTGCTGGTGAAGCCGAAGCGGATCACGCCGCTCCAATTGTCGGAGATCTCCAGAAACTTCACGCAGACCTGCGTTGTTCCACAAAAAGGCAAACATGTAGCTTAATTGTGCGTAAACGAGTAGACCAAATTGGGAAAATTTTGCAGTACAAAATCAAAATAGTCATGAAACTTGATGTAGACATAGTATGAGGTGAAATATGAACTTGCGTGACGATTAGTTTTGTACCGTAAAATTTTCTCAATTTGGTATACTCCTTTAGAGAGAGAGAGAAAGAGAGCAGGAAAGGAGGTGACGAAATTACGGGGACCAGAACGATCGAGCGATCCTAAAATGGAATTTTGTCCGAGGAGGCATCCTCGGAATTGATTGTTTCGAATGACGTTCCACATTATAATAATTTTACATCTCGCCCGCGCCCGATTAGCTCCAATCCGTCGTAACCGAAACCGAAAATACACCTAACGCGTCGCCCACACGCTCTATTAGCGACCGGTCATCGTATATTTATTCGAGGGTCCACGGAACGTCGGTCCACCGTTTAGCCCGACTATACTAATCACACTCGTGTTATCTAACGCTACAAATAACAGATACACTAATAATAACTCAAGATAAGAGAGTTCGTAACTTTAAAGTGGAACGATATGCAAAAGAACGATTCGCGGGATAAAAACGATCCCTTCTCCCTCTTATAATTGCGGGCAATAGTCCGTTCTAATAATATTGGAGAAATATGCGATCGGTGGAGCGGAACGAGATAGTGGCTCGGTTTCCCACAATTAGCGATTCAGTTACGGCTTTAAGAGACAAACTCACCTTCTCGCCCACTCGCACAGGTCTGGCGCTAAAGGTGACACCCTTGCAAAAGCTCTCGTGCCTCCGGGCGATCGTGCCGCCATTGCACAGCCTGATGTTGTCACCGTGGACGTGGTGAAACGTCAACGGAGGCAGGTTGTTGGTACCCGCGCTCGAGGATCTGGGCGCTGCAACAGAAAGCGTCGATCATTAAATAACGGTACTTCATATTCGCAAGATATTCATAGGAGATTGTAGGCATCTATTATTGTCGGCGGATCTATCCAAGTGCGTGTATGTATATATACACTTGGAGTTTCAATTTACTCGTTTCGCAAGTGCGTTGTTTCATAATTTGTACAACCCGACTAACGTCGCTGGAATGTGACTGCGCGTATATATGCATATATAATATTGATCTAACGAAGGCCACGCGATAGCGCGATCTTGAAGATCCTTTTCCCGGATGTTCTTGAAAAACTTGAGGAACTTGTCAAAGAGTTGTATATACTCTCGCGCGTTCGACAAGGAATTGTTTACGTAGGCGTCGTCGCGAACCGACTTGATTTCTCTTTTTCGCGAGGGAATCAAAGTAACGTCGCCGCAAGAAATGGGCCATCGACCGCGTTCTAACGTCCTCTCTCTCTCTCTCTCTGGTCGGGAAATTCACTCGAGGCGGATAAGCACTTCGCGGATGAGGAACAAAGGAGAGTTCTGCTCCAACAACGCGGAGGAGAAAAAAAGAGGGAGCGAGAGAGAGATTCGAGCGGGGAAACTCTCTGATACAAAAGCGCACCTCTTGGGCAGCTCGAGCGTTTCCACTTCGATATTTCATAATAATGCTGGCTCGCCGATCCGGAATGCGGGGATACACTCCGTGTATAATATCTTCAGGCGAAGACGAACGCGTTTGCGAGTTGGTGCATCGAGGTACCAAGGTACATGAAGGGAGAATCTCCTCGAGAGAGATATATAATCAGCTGTTTTTAACATTCACCCGCGGAACTGTGTACACACGGACAGAATTTGCTCTTAGAATTTACCCTGACAATCATTATGATAATCGTAAGGCAATTTGGTATATTGGAATAATTTTTTAAAAGTTTCTCTCATTAATATTTATATCGCAATAAAAAAAATATTATTATATATATATGTAATAAAATTAATTGAACATCACATTTTATATCTTATTGTGGCACACTGAAACAAAATTTATTGAATTTGAATAGAGAATGTTTTTATATAAGAAAATCTTTTTGAAAACAGATCAATATTTATTAATTTAATCATTGTTTTTCATTAATATTTTTATTGTAGTAAATATTAATCAGTCTTATGAAATTCTTCCAATACCATATGATTACCATGATTTTCCGGGAAAATTCTCTCTGCGTAAATAATTAGACCACCATATCGTCGATTTTCATCGCGCACTTTAATACATCACTCCTGAACCACGATAATTATTTATTAACAATTAAATAAATACATGCAAATTTTGAAGGAAGAAGAAAGAACTATTTCTAACGCGAAAGACGTCGGTGCGCGAAATAGTTGGCGAGTCTTTGTGTCGATTTGAAAGTAAATCGGGAGTGCCGCGTCGATTCGACCGGCGCCTGCGAGAGTCTCGTTCTTACTGACGACTATCGATATGCCGAGGCGCGTAGCCGATTATTGTATGCGCGCCGGAAACCGCACGTTTCGTACCGGAAGCGGCCCGCGCGGGAAACGTCAAGTACGCCGATCCGCTTTCTCCGCAAAACGGATGCGACCCGAAAAACTGGCGTTATAACAATGCACAGGGCGAGAGGAAGGTGTCGATTTACACCTTGATGACTCTGATCATCGACACTTTGCGTGCTTCCTTGCCGTATTTGTATACGACTGAAAGAATAACAAAAAAACGACGGTTCAACATACCCGTGGATCAGTAACACTATATAGTAATTTTAATCGCAACAAAGAAATATGTACGATGTATCCTGTCGGAAATTTTAAATTAGAAGAACAAAGATGAATACAAAAAAGATCGTAAAGAGCGAGGATTAATATTCTACCTGTAATTAAAAATTAAGCCTCTTGTTACGATCGTTTGTTCGTAAAGCGCGTGTTCAGCAAAGTATACATTACTACATCCTCATTCATTCGCGAAAGCAATTTCATTCAGTTCGTATTTAGACGTGTATTACAAAGTATTCGAAATCAACGAAAATACTAATCCTCGATGATTAATCGAAGTCGAGTACCGTCGAGATCGATGGAATAATAATCGCGACACGTACATACCTATAAATACCGGTAAAACATCGCGAGACCGTTCGATTTCTCACGCTCCCGCTCGAAGGCTCGCGTATTAGGAAACGCGCTAATTGTAATTTCTAATTTCCCCCTCGAGAAGGCGGTCGCGTTTTTTCCCTCCTTTCCACGCAAACGCGGAACCGTTACGCCGCGGTGCAACGCGATGCGAAAAGTATAAATGCGCCGATTTCCAGGATTTTACGCGACGACTTGTAAAAGTGTCGTATTTCGACGTCGAGGTCATACGACTTTTTTTTCGACTCGTGTCTCTTCCGCGGTATATTTTTCGACCAATCGTCCGATTAGGCACCATTGCGAAATCTTATGAAATTACCTGACTCGAGTTTTTTCGAGGAACTCGTGGTATTAATCTCTATATGTTTGCAAAGAGAGAGAGAGAGAGATTAATAACTATCCCTACATTTTTTTATTACGTCATTATGGAGATATCGGGATAAATCCAATGATAATAAATGTGTTATTCGGAAATGATATTAATATATTTACACAGCAATCTCTCTGCTGATTAATGATGTCACATATTAATTCTGAAAACAAGATATCAATTTTCTGAGATCTAATTATATAATATAATAAATAAATAAACAGGTACCTGTTCATTTTTATAAATAGCAAATTAATTTCTTCCTCGTATATCTTACAAAAGGAATAACAAAAGAATATATCGCGAAAGAATACACGTTCCTTATTGCTGTATCTTGAATTAAATTAATTAATCATTTAATTGAAGCAGATATCACTTAACACTGAACTTAATAATTGATTTGAAATAGAATAACTGTGATCTTGAAAACTTTCGATAAGGAAGAAATTATTTTATAATTAACGTGTAACAATAAAATATATTGTTAGTAATCATGCAGTAAAAATGCAGAATTAATCTTTTTTTTAGTATTACGAAAATTACGATGGCTGCAAGATTGCAATCGCATTCAGACTAAACAACATTGAACAACAGATTTCAAAGTCGCGACGGCTGAAACACGACCGTGATTTTCAAGTACACGGGAAAGAGCAGACGAAGCGCATCGCGCATCACCGAAAGTACATTCTCGCGGATTGTACGCGTCGTTGTTTAGCCACGATTAGTCACGCAAGACGTGATTCCTGAAGACGCATCTCGGTCGGTAGAGACGCCCGGCCAGATCCACCGTGGGAATGTTATGATGTATACCGTTGCATCTCTCGTCGGCGTTCTTGTTGGCCCCGACGGAGCAAACCATGACTCCATTTACCCCTCATGATCGGCCACTTATTCGCCACTGTCCGTATCTAGCACCGAGCCTGAAGAAGGCTCGAGGAAGGTCTCACGGAGACAGAGAGAGAAAGAGAACTGAACTCGATTGATTAGCAATAAATTTATTTTTATATTTTTTTATTATTATACTAATATTATTTATTTAATTTTTTATATCTTCGATGATGAATCTTTAGGCAAATTAAATTGCTGATAGAGCAATCAATCTAAATTTACCAAGAGTTATCGCGTTTTTTGCTATAATTTTTTTTTTAATTTTTACGCATTGTCATCGGTAGGTCATAGAAATCCAAAGACTTGACATAGACTATTCAGAGTCGGGGATTAAAATTGCGACCGCGATATGACGTATTGCCTGAACAGTTATGCGCGAACATCGGTAATCCGCTGAATAATCGCCGGCTCTCGGACGCCGATTCATCGTCGTGACCGTCATTAAACGCGACGCGTTCTTTTTCCCAGGACACGATCGATCGGCTCTCCACGCAAATCGCGCGGATAGTCAACGCGAAATCTCTCTCCTAGGTAGCAGTAATTGGTCTATGCCCGCGCCTATGCCTGCCATTCGCCGGTGCATCTCGTGGGAAACCCGTGACACACATTTGCGCGGAAGTGCACTCGTAGACTGCAACGCGTCTCTGATGAGCCGCCGCGATGCTGCGTCGTCGTCGTCGTCGCGTCTCTTCGGGACCGTGTTTAATTAAAATCTCGTTTCCAGCTCGACTACGGCTTCGCCGGGAGCGAAATAACAGATGTTGCGAGAGATGTAGCGCAAGAAAATTGGAAATAAAACGATGACACACCGAGTATCTTGCGGCCTTTCGCTTGTCATAGAGAAGACAAGACGCTTCATGGACTATTGTCTGTATAATTGTGTCAAATTGTAATTCTAGAGTTAGTGAAAAATTTGCGAGCCTTATTGCGAGGTTGAATCATTATTTTTTTATATTTTCCTTTTAAATATGTTAAGAGGATGCTGACTATGTCTGGTTTACCGGCTTCGAGTTCGAGGGCTTTTCTTTTTATTGGCTAGACAGACTGAAAATCCTTCTCCACAATTTAAGGACTGATAATAATGAACGGGGAGCGCTATAGTTTTGTATAAAAAGAATAAAAGTTGAAAAATTGCAGCTTTTTATCGATCTCTTGCATCAGCTCATAACAATATACTTACTTAATGCAAAAGTTCTGCAGTTTATTTGTGCACAAAATATGGCGCTCCTAACAAAGATGATATAAAATAATAACATATATTATCAGTACTTTTATTGTGGAGCATTTTTCAATCTGTATATTTAATAAAAAGTCAATTAAATGTGTCAACATAAATAACGCTATTTTACTTGAATAAGGTCCGTGACATTTGAGAAATGGTTTAATGCGCTCGCGACGTTATTGAAATAATTCCAATTGATTCGCGACTATTGTCGAAGTGAAAGTGATGCTTGGGAAATCAGACGTCTTTGCGAGAACATGCGATGTGAACGCGATGCACTTTGCATGATGTAAATAAACGAAGCCTTGACCGAGCTTCGTCCTCCCCCGCGGCTCATTGACTGCAATCATCGAATCTATTTTTGCATCGACTGCTATCAACCGCGTAGGAAA